CTCTAACAGAAGTACCACAAGTGGATGGCTTCAACAAAGAGAAATTTATTCTCTCACAGTCTAGTAAGCTGCAAGTCCAAATTCAGGGCAACAGCTCCAGGAGAAGGCTTTCTCTCTGTGTCGGCTCTGGAGGAAGGTCCTTGAGATGCATCAGTCTTCCTTTGGTCTGGGAGCATCTTAGCACAGGAACCCCAGGTCCAAAGGATGCGCCCTGCTCCTGCCACTGCCTTCTTGGTGGTATGAGGTTCCCTTGTCTCTCTGCTTGCTTCGCTCCTTTATATCTCAGAAGAGATTGGATTAAGACACTACCTAATCTTGTAAACCTCATCAGTATAACCTCATCACAGTGATAGAATTTACAACACATAAGGAGATCACATATAACCTCAACATAGTGATAGGGTTTACCACACATAAGGAAATCACATTGGATTACACAAGCATACAATACTGGGAATCATGACCCAGCCAAGCTGCTACACACATTTTTGGGGGGACACAATTTAACCCATGACAGCAAGGTTGGTTCAACACATGAAAATCAGTCAATGTAAAATACCATATTAATAGAACAAGGGTCAAAAACCACATGGTCACCTCAATAGACACAGAAAAAGCATTTGACAAAATCTTTCATGATAAAAACACATAACAAACTGGGAACAGAAGATGCAGTAGGCTGAATAATGGTTCCTGAAGACATCTATGTCCGAATCCCCCCAAAACCTGTGGAAATGTCACCTTACGTGGCAAAAAGGACTTTGCAAAAGGGATTAAGTCAAGGATCCTGAGATAGAGATATCATTCTGCATTATCCCAGTGAGCCTAACATAATCACAAGTGTTCTCATAAGAGGGAGGCAGGAGGGTCAGAGTCAGAGAAGGCAATGTGACAACAGAAGCAGAGGGAAAGAAAACTAAGTGATGATGGAAGCAGAGTGAGAGAAAATATGAGGATGGAAGCGTAGGTCGAAGTGACACAGGACCACAAGCCATGAAATGTGGCATCCTTTAGAAAGGAAAAGGCAATGAAATGGATTCTTCCCTAGAGCCTCTAAAAGGAATGCGATCTTGCCAACTCATTTTGGACTTCTGACCTCCAGAACTATAATAAATCTGCATTGTTTTAAGCCATTAAGTGTGTGGAAATTTGTTAAAACAGCAACAGGAAACTAATGCAGTAGTGTCCTGCCTCAGCCTCATTAAGAGCATCTACAAAAAGGTTACAGCTAACATCATTCTTCATGGTAAACAACCGAAAGCTTTCCCCCTAAGATCAGGGACAAGATCAGGATGTCCGTTCTTGCCACTTCTATTCAACATTGTACTGGAGGTTCTCTCCACGGCAACTAACATCCACAGTGGAAAGAAAGAAGTAAAACTACCTCTTCTTGTAGAGGGCATGATCTTGTATACAGAAAAATCTAAGAAATTCATACACACGTGCACATACACACACACACACACATAAAACTATTAGAGCTAATAAATGAATTCAGCAAGGTTGCAAGATACAAGATCAACATGAAAATCAACTGTAATACTAGCAATGAATAATCTGAAAATGAAATTAAGAAAATAGTTACATTTACAATAGCATCAAAAAGAACAAAATACTTAGGAATAAAGTTAACAAAAGAAGTGCAAGGCTAGTATACCAAAAACCACAAAACATTGTTGAAAGACATTAAAGACAACCTAAATAAGTGGAAAAAACATTCCATGGTAATGGACTGGAAGACTTAATATTGTTAAGATGGCAATACTCCCTGTATTAGCTTCCTAGTGCTGCCGAAACAAAACAGCACAAACTGTGTGGCTTGTAAGAACAGAAATGTATTACCTCTCAGCTCTGGAGTCTAGCAGTCCGAATTCAGGGTGTTGGCAGGGCTGTGTACTCTCCGAAAGCATTTGGGGAAACTCCTTTTTTGTCTCTCCTAGCTTCTGGTAAGTCTAGGTATTCCTTGGCTTGCAGCTGCAGCGTAACTCTGTGGTCACATGGCCAATATCCCTCTGTCTCTGTATCTTTTCGTATTTTGTAAGGACACCACTGAGAGTAGATTTAAGGAGCCCGGGTAGCTCAATGGTTAAGTGCTCAGCTGCTAATTGAAAGGCTGGCAGTTCAAATCCACCCAGCAGCTCCATAGGAGAAAGACCTGGAGATCTGCTCCCATAAAGATCACAGCCTAGAAAACCCTATGGGGCAGTGCTACTCTGTCGCATGGGGTTGCTATGAGTCTAAATTGACTCAAAGGCACCTAACAACAAGCGTAGATTAGGACCCACCGTACTCTAGTATGACATGTTAACTAGTAACATCTGCAAACCCCTATTTACAAACAAGGTCATGTTCACAGGAACCAGAGGTTAGGACTTCAATGTATCTTTTTAAGGGGTCACAATTCAATCCACAACACTCTAAAATGTATCTACAGACTTAACACAATCCCTATCAAAATCCCAGCTGCCTTCTTTGGAGAAATTAACAAGCTGATTCTAAAATTCATGTGGAAATACAAGAGACCCAGAATAGCTAAAATAATCGTGAAAAACAAGAATAAAGTTAAAAGACTCACACTTTCCAATTTAAAAATCCACTACAAAGCTTTTGTAATCAAAATAGTGTGGAACTGGCATAAGGATAGGCCTGTAGATGAATGGAATAGAACTGACAGCCCAGAAATAAACCCTAATGTTTCTGAGTCATTGATTTTGACAAGGGTTCCATGACAATTCAGTGGGGAAAGAACAGTCTTTTCAACAAATGGTGGTGGTACTGCTAGATATCCACATGAAAAAGAATGAATTTGGACTGTTACTTTATACTATATACAAAAAGTAACTTAAAATGGACCAGAGACCTAAATTGTAAGAACTAAAACCATAAAATTCTTAGAAGAAAACACGGGGGTAAATCTTCATGACCCTGAATCAGGCAATAGTTTCTTAGATGTGCCACCAAAAGCACAGCAACAACAGAAAAAAAGGTAGATAAGTTAGAAAAAATTAACATTTGTGCTTCAAAGGGCATCATCAAAAAGTGGAAAGATAATCCACAGAATGAGAGAAAATGTCTACAAACCATATATCTGATAGGAAACTTAAATGCAGAATATACAAAGAACTCTTAGAACTCAACAATAAAAAGACGAATAACCCAATCAAAAAATGGGCAGAAGATCTGAATAGACTTTTCTTTAAAGAAGGTATACAAATGGCCAAAAGCACATAAAAAGATGCTCAACATCATTAGTCATTAGGTAAATGCATATGAAAACTACAGTAAGACACAACTTCACAACTACTAGGATGGCTATAATCAAAAAGACAGACAACAGCACGTGTTGGCAAGGATATGGAGAAACTGGGACATTCATAAATTGTTAATGGAATGTAAAATGATGCAGCTGCTTTGGAAGTGTCTGGCAGTTCCTCAAAAAGTTAAACAGAGTCATCATATGACCAAGCAATTCCACTCTTATGTATATACCAAAGAGAACCGAAAACAGGTTTTCAAACAAAAACTTGTACCTCAAAGTTCATAGCAGCTCTATTGACAATAGCCAAAAGGTAGAAACAATGCAAATGTTCATCAACTGATGAACAAATAAACAAAACGTGGTATATCTATATAATGGAATGTTACTCTGCCATAAAAAGGAGTGAAGTATGGCATGGATGAACTACCACAGGAATGAACCTCAAAAAATTTATGCTAAGTGGAAAAAGCTAGACACAAAAGGTCACAAATTATATGACTCCATTTATATATATCCAGAAAAGGTAAATCCAATGAGACAGAAAGTAGATTAATGGTTGCCAGGAGCTGGACAGAGCAGGAAATGGGGAATGACTGCTAATGATTTCTATTTGGGGTCATGAAAATGTTCTGGAATTAGTGTTGGTGGCCGTACAACTTGTGAATTTAGAATACATCCACTCTAAAAGGGCAATGAGCTCACTACACATTTATCAGAATGGCTAATGACAATACCAATAACGGCAAGGTTGCGAAGAAACTGCATCTATCATACATTGCTGGTCAGCATGTAAAACAGAACAGCCACTCTGAAAAACATTTTGGCAGTTTCTTTACTAAACATATGTTTACCATATGACTTAGCAATCACACTCCTAGGAATTCATGCTAGAAAAATGAAATCTTATGTACACAATAGTTCACAGCAGTCTGATTAGCAGTAGCCAAGAAGTGGAAACAACCAAATGTACCACAATAGAGGAATGGCTAAACTAACTGTGGTACATCCATGGAATGCTTCTCAGCTGCACAAAGGAACGAACCATTGATATGTGCAAGAACTTAAATGGATCTGAAAGGCATTATTTTGAGTGAAAAAAGCCAATCTGAAAAGGTCACATACTGTACGATTCTATTTATGTAACATTCTCGAAATGACAAAATTACAGAGATGGGGAACAGATTAATGGTTGCCTGGGTTCAAGGATGATGATGAGGAGCAGGACAGGTGTGATTATTAAATGGACAGTACACGGGAGTTTTCTGTGGTGATGGAATACTTCTGCATCTTGATTGAGGGTGGTTATAGGAATCTACACCTGTGGTTAAATGACACAGAACTACACATACTTTATACCAAAGTCAATTTCCTGGTCTTGATATTGTACGATAGTCATAACTAATGGGAGAAACCGAGTGAAGGGTACATGAGAACTGTCAGTACCGTATCTTTGCAACTTCCTGGGCATCTATAATTACTTTTAAATAATTAGAAAATAACTGTCAAAATTAAAATGTTATTTTAAAAAGAGAAGCCTGTTCATAAAAGCTATTTATTTACTCATTGTAACACTGTAAGCACCCCCTAGGACCAGGTTCTTTACCAGGTGCAGAGATGGCGATAACTCGTGCCTTCAAAGAACTTACAGTTCAGTGTTAGAAAGACAAGTCAGACAATATAATGTGGGTAAATACGTAATTCTGCACCCCAAGGAATGAATTCTTCTCAGCAAAACCAATACCTGCATCAAGCTGCTGCTCCCCGTTCATTTCCACAGCATACGGGCTATCTCCTCCCCAAACAAAGGAAAGGCCTTATGGTTCTGCTAGGATCTGATGATTACTTGCAGGTCTCAAGCGTCTGTTCAACGGTCATTCAAGGGTCCAAATGAAAGTGCTGAAAAATCAAAAAGAACACGTAAACAGCCTGAAGCCCAAGCATTCATTCAGAAGACATGGTACTCAACTTGGCTGAGAAGGTAGATTAACATGACTGCTTTTCTTCACTCCTCACTAGTCTAAATTCCCCTTTCCTTACCACCTGTAGCAAATCCAAAGGTGACAGCTGAGTCTTACTTATAAACAGATAAAAGTAACAACACACTGGCAGAATAAATAGGATTAGAGAAAAAAACTGACATTTTTTTCTAATTTTGAAGATTATACATTGTATAGCTATCAAAATTAACATTTTTCTAAATTGAAGGTTATATATTGTATAGCTATCAAAATCTTGATATTTAAAAATCAGCAAATTAAGATATATAAGAATCTTTACCCTTTAAACTTAGATTACAATACTTAGCATCGTAATTTCTATCCACAATAACCAATTCCTAATGACTTCCTGGGGGGAAAAAGTTAGCTTTCAATGTTGTGTCTTACCAAATGAATTAGATTCAGGATATAGTATTACTTTAACTGATTTTCCATTTCACTTATCTAGATTATCATGCAGAATCAAAACGTAGCAACTATATTAGCGTCTACAACTACACTTATAAAGAGAACCCCTCCAAAATGAGCTCTAACTCATTTATTCTTTTTTATACAGCTGTATTAAGACATAATTCACATACCATAAAATTTCCCATTTTACGTATAAAATTCAATCAGTTTTAGTAAACTTGCAGAGTTGTGTAACCATCACCAAAATCCAATTTTAGAACATTTCCATCGACCCAAAAAGAAACCTCTTGTTCATTTGCAATCCTTCCCCATTTCCACCCCTTGCCTCAGGCAACCACTTATCTACCTTCTGTTTGTAGAACCAAGAACCAGAACCAGTTGGCATGGAGTTGACACCAACTCATGGTGATCCCATGGGCCTCAGAGCAGAACTGTGCTCCATGAGTTTTCGGAGGTAGATCACCAAGCCTTTCTTCTGAGGTGCCAGTGGGTGGACTCGAACATCTGACCTTTTGGTTAGCTGCCAAGCACATTAACCTTTACTGTTTGCACCATCCAAGGGGACTCCTCTGTTGGTAGAGATTTTGCCCGTCCTGGACATTTCACATAAATGGTACCATACAATATGTGGGCTTTTGTGTCTGGCTGCTTTCACTTAGCATAATGCTTTTGAGGTTCAACCAGGTTGCAGTATGTATGAGCCTATTTCTTCTTGCTTTACATATTTTAAAACAATCTAAGATATTGCCTTTGTATGTGCCTAATACAGTATTAGAAAGAGTACATCAAAGGGGGAAAAGGAGCTGCTACAGGAAGGCACGACGTGAACTAACTACAAAGGCAACAAGACTGAAAAGTATAAAAGTAGATCAGGTACTTAGCAGCCACAGCCGTAAGAGGTGACGTTCTGGAGGATCAAGTGACTCCACACCTGTCAGGGTTTGAATGGGTATTAGAGCTCCCGGTAACCAATTCTCATTAAAAAAAAAACAAACTTTAATCACTACAAAAAGTTAGTTTAAACTAATATACCCATTGAAAACGTACACACTACCTAAAGTGCAAGAGCTTCAAACAGGTAATAGGAACACCTAGGTTCTTGTTCCAGCTCTACTGATAACTAGCTATGCAATCTTATACAGACCATGTCATGTCAATTGCTTTATCTTAAAATGAGTAGGTAGGACTACCTAGTCTGTAAGGTCTTTTTCAGATTTTAAAATTTCATAATGAGCACAAATTTTTAATAACTTAAAATTATGGGTATCCCATTTGAGATAACTTCAATTATCCCAAATCATATTATACAGCACAAGCATTGAAGCCCACACTTTCACAGACAGAAACAATCGAATAGAAACTTGGCAGTGACACTTGAAGCCTCTAAATATGCTCCCTTCTCAGGAGCCCTTGTGGCACAATAGTTAAGCACTCTGCTGCTAACCTAAAGGTTGGTGGTTTGAAACCACCCAGCAGCTCCCCAGGAGAAAGATCTGGCTATCTGCTTCCATAAAGATTTAAACCAAAAAACCAAACCGATTGCCATCGAGTCGATTCTGGCTCATAGCAACCTCACAGGGTTTCCAAGGCTGTAAATCTTTACAGAAGCAGACATCTTTCTCCCGCAGAGCAGCTGGTGGTTTTGAATCACCGACCTTCTGGTTAGCAGTCAAGTCACTTTGACCACTGCGCCACCAGGGCTCCTGTCAAGATGACAGCCTAGAAAACCCTGTGGGGCAGTTCTGCTCTGTCACAGGGGTCACCGCTAAGTCAAAAATCAACTCAACAGCCCTAACAATAACACAACATAATACCATGAGCTAGTAAATATGCTCCCTTCTCTCCATTTACTTTTCTACCCCAAGTCTAAAATGTGCCACTCCACCTACAATTCAAATGCCAGCTCACTGCCATCTATTCTAGAGGCTGGGGGTAAAGAATTCAAGAGAGACGTGGTTCCTTTTTCCATGAAGCTTATTTTCTATTAGGAGGGTGACAGACAGAAACTAAGCCAAGAATTAAAAATAATTAAAGTGCTTTTAAGGAAAAGTCCTGAGTGCTAAGACAGAATATAATGGCAGGCCTAACCTAAACTGGAGCTCTAGTGGCACAGTGGTTAAGAGCTCAGCTGTTAACCAAAGGGTCGGCAGTTCAAATCCACCAGCCGCTCCTTGGAAATCCTATGAGACAGTTCTACTCTGTCCTATAGATAGGGTCACTATGAGTCAGAATTGACTCGATGACAAAAGGTTTTTTGGTTTTTTAACTTAAACTGGGGCCGCGTGGGTGGCGCAAACAGTTAAGCACTCAACTATTAGCTGAAAGGTTGATAGTTCAAACCCAACCAGAAGCACCTCAGAAGACAGCCCTGGAAATCAACTTCCAAAAGGTCACAGCCTTGAAAACCCTATGGAGCGCTGTTCTACTCCACACACATGGGGTCGCCATGAGACAGGATCGACTCAACAGCAAATGGTTGGTTACTGGTATACTAGGAAATACGAGTCCCTAGGTGGCGCAAACAGTTAACATGCATGCTGCTAATCAAAGGTTGTGGTTCAAGTCCACACAGAGGCACAGCAGAGGAAAAGCCTAGCGATCTACTTCTGAAAAATCAGCTACTGAAAACCCTATGGAGCAGTTTCACTCTGAATGGATTCAAGGGCAATGGGTTTGGTTTTCATTTTTTTTTAATTAGGAAATACCCCATAACCATTGAAAGATGTAAGCAGATCCATAAAAGTATACAGAAACATTATCTATGTTGCTGAGTGTAAAAAGCAAGTGAAGAACAATATTATTTATATTAACTTTTTAAACACCCAAGTCCATTGCTTACTTGGCTATGTGATGTTGAACAAATGACTGGGCCTATTTGTGCCAGTTGCCTCATTTGTAAAAGGGAGATAACAGTACTGTCCCTATTTTAAAGGACTGCTGTAAGGATTGAGATAATTCACAAAAAGCACATAGCACAGAGCTACCTACGCTGTAAATGCTGCGTTAATGTTAACTATTATGCAATGTCAACAGGCTCAAGTGCCTACGGCACTAATTTAGTGAATCATCTCTACACAGAAAGTCTTGACATTTCAACACGGGATTAATGGAACGACGCTAGTGCTAAATAAATATCTATTGGTTCACTAGGCTTTGAAGACATCACTCACTGTTTACGTACATAAACTCTCGGAGTGTGCTAGAATATTTTGTGCAAAGAAGCCACAAAGTGTAAAAAAAAATAATAACAATGAAGATGATAAATAAACACAGGTTCAATGCAAAAGATGTGAGGTAGAGAGAATGCAAGTGTTATGTAGCTGAAAGCTGAAGCTGTGACGTGTTTTCAGTCTTACAACATCCCTTAGATTTTAGCCGATGAGCAATCAGTTCATCATCTTAATAGGATCATGAGAAATAAACTGATGAAGGCTTTTGCTGTGGAACATCTGTTAGATCTCTCTCTTTATTGCTAGCTTGCTGTCTTTTCATGCAGTGAGAAAAAAAAACAAGCAAAATATCCAGGGGCCTAGTATATGGAAATTTAATTCACTTTTCATTTATTTCCCGTTCATGTTAAACAGTTTTACTGTCTTTGTTTATTTTGCAGTTGGTTTTTATACTATAATTTCCCTTGTGGTGGCCAGAACACATCAAGAGTTATTTATTTTTAGATAAAGTTCACATGAACTGATTTGGACCTTGCTCATCTTATTTACAATGTATTAGTGAACTAAACAGGTGCCCAGTTATTTGCAGGGAGTTCTAGTAAGACATACTGAAGCCAGGAGAGATTTTAAACACTTATAAGAAGTAAATAAAAAATTAAAAAGCAAAGCTAATTGGACATAACAAGCTTTGATGTTAAACATAAAAAAAATTGAACTAAAATGAAAGCTGTCATGGACTGAACTGTGTCCCCCAAAAATATCTGTATCATTTTGGCTAGGCCATGATTCCCAGTATTGTGTGGTTGTCCACCATTTTGTGATTTGATGTAATTTTCCTATGTGTTGTAAATCTTAATCTCCGCCTGTGGTTAATGAGGCAAGATTAAATTATGTTAAAGAGCATTAGGTCAGGATACAACACCCTTACTCAGGTCACAGCCCTGATCCAATGTAAGGGGAGCTACCCTGGGGTGTGGCCTGTATCACCCTTTACCTTACAAGAGATAAAAGGAGAGAGAAGTGAGTAGAGAGATGGGGACCCTTCCTACTACCAATAAGAAAAGCTGGGAGCAGAGCATATCCTTCGGACCTAGGGTCCCTGTGCTGAGAAACTCCTAGACCAGGGGAAGACTGATGACAAGGACCTTCCCCCAGAGCTGACAGAGAGAGAGCCTTCCCCTGGAGCTGGCACCCGGAATTCAGACGTCCAGCCTCCTAGACTGAGAGAGAATAAATTCCTGTTTGTTAAAGCCATCCGCTTGTGGTATTTCTGTTATAGCAACACTATATGACTAAGACAAAACCCAACAGATGTTTACTTCTCATTCAGAAAAGTCCAGACAGGTGATTCTGATCAGCAGGCAACTCTCTTCCAAAGAAAATCAAATTGAATTAACTATTTCATTTTTAGTGATCCATCAATATAAAATAAAACCACCATGGAATAATTACCTTTTAAATGGATCTTTTAAAAGATCTGAAAATCATCTTAACAATAGTCATACCATGCTTTCCCCTTCCATCTTTTTTTTAGTGTACACACACTGTCCGTACTCTAAGCCTTTACTACCTGGCTTCATGTTAGTGCACTTTATTTTCAAGGCTAAGATAAAATATCAAGTAAGAGTCTTACATGGGAAAGTAATAATAACACAAGAGAGATTTCTGTAGGAGGGATTCTCAGACAAATGATTTAACATGTCTGACATAAATAACTTAAGAAGAATGATGGCAACTCAGCTCTAAAGACAGACAATATCAATGGTGGTTGTAAGAAAATACTTTAATTTAATAAATATTTACCAGGCAGGTAACAGGAAAATTCCCATGGAATATTTGACTTTGCATTCCTATTCCTCAACTCGATAGCAATCCAACAAATGCCAAGTTCAGCAATAACGTCAGGTACGCTGTTAAATATGGTAAATGCAAAGAATTCAGTAAATCAGATGCTCTGTGTTCAGCCAATCTGCAAAGTTAACTCTGTTCTTGACAGTAAAGATCAGTGGCAGAGTCACTCTATTTTCTGTTCCCCAACAAGTGCAGATTTCTGTTGGCCTTTCACTCTCCACAATGAAGCGGTCAGTCATCACTCCCTGACTTTGTACACTTCCTAACTGGCAGACTACCTAAACTAAATGCTGTGCTTCCATCTGTCAGATGTCAATATAACTTGATTATTAGGAGTAAATCTTCAATTGTTTCATTGAATTTTTTGTTGGAGTTGTTTTTATGGTTTTTAACCCCCTGCTACATGTCTGACTAGGGAGCTAAAAAGTAATAAATTAAATCTGATAAAGTCAAAGTTTTCGAGTATTGTAACAGACAAATCTTAGCCACTCACACCATCTAAATTAGATCCGACCCTAGCTTAACATTTTCATGATTATGTAAACCCAACATAGGGTATATTTGTCTCAGATGAACAAACTGGCACTTATGAATTTATAAAACCACTACAAGTTTTCAAAAAAACCTAGAACTCAAGAATACCTGGAGTTAAAAAAAAAAAAAGGTCAAATTATAGGGCCAATATTTTTAAAGGATTATTTTGAACCAAAAATTGTTAAATAAAAGATGGCACAAACATACAATGTAAATACTACATGGCCATTACAAATTGTCCTAGAGAAATGTTTTTTCTTTCCAATCTAAATCTCAACATGATGAGCTAATTTTAAAATTCATCTGAAAGAGAAAACGTACTATCCAGTTGAGACACTTTTGTACAAGATGATATATGATAAGGCAAGTTCCTTCTAACAAAACATTAAAATAGTACAGTACTAGCATAAGAAAACAAATACAGCAATAAAGTAGAATGAGGTTGAGAAACAGACCCATTTATACGAGAGTGCAGTACGTGATAAAGATGGCATTCTATTTTTATCACAAAGGATGAACAAATAAATAGTGTTAAAGACCTGGCTATCCATTTTGGGGGGAAAAGTTAGATCCTTACTTCATGCTGTCATATAAATAAGCTCGAGGTGAATTAAAAGAAAACATGAAAAACAAGATCCCAGACAAACTAAAAGAGAATATGGTTATAATTTTGAGACAGTGTAGACTTCCTTAATCAAGGAAGACAAAAATATATATATATATATATATATATATATACACACACACACACATATATACATTTGACAACACAAACATGTAAAATTTGTGATTGGCAAAAGGACATCATAAACGACTTTAAACAGACCAGAAGAAAATATTTCCAGCAGATATAACAAAGAATTAATAGCCATAATAACAGAAAGTGCCTATAAATCAATAAAGAAAAAAAAACAAAACCTAATAAGAAAAAAAAAGTCAGATATGAATAGGAATTTTACTGAAATACAAACCAAAAATCATATAAAAATATGCTCAACCTCAACAACTAAAATGAGATTTTATCCAGACTGGCAAAGATGAAAGGTTAATAACATCCAGTGTGAGTCAAGATACAGAGAAACGGGCACTGTCGTTACCAGGTAAAGAGTAAATGGATACAGCCCTTTCAGAGAGAAATTCTACTCTATCAAAAATTTTAACATGCATTCTCTACACCCCAACAATTCTACTTCTAGTATTTATTCAAGAAAAATGCCCAGAGAAAAAAAAGAAATAAGCATCGTAACAATTCAAAGAAAGAGATTAAATTGTCCCCATGTCCTCCCTAGCAGTTACCGTTGGGGAGAGTGAGACGTGAGGACAGAAATGAGTAAAAGAGAATTTTTGCTTTATCTGCATTTGTTGAAATTTTTTTAATGATGAAAACGTACTCATATGCTTACTTACAAGGTTTAAAATTTTTAAGAAAAACAAAATACTTTATTGATGTGAAAAGTTACTTATTCTATTGACAAATATTTACTGAACACCCACTATGTGCCAGGTCTAATCAAAATTCTAGGAATTTATCATTGAAGAAAACAGACCCAAATCTCTGCCCTCATGGAGCTTACATTTTAGTGGTAGGGAAAAGTATAGTATTTTTTCTAAATGTGGTAAGTGATAATGTCAGGTAGGGGTGATGGCATCCACTGAAAGTTAAATAGGCTTCACGGAGAAGATTTGAACTTTTGGACAAAAACTTGAAGGAGATGTCTGAGGTCAGAATATTCAGGCAGAGGAAAAAAACCAACACAAGAGCCCTAAAGTGAGAGCATATGAGCTGTGTTCAAGGAGGCCAGGGCAGCTGGGGCCACATAAACAAGAAAGAGTATAAAAGATGAAGCTAGAGAGATGTCAACCTCAGACAGTTTGTTATATCCCCAACCCCTTTTGTGGGTTTTCCCTACCTACAGACCTTAAGGGACCATAATATCTACCCACTCTATCCCACTCTTCTGGGGATATGATAAAACATAAAGGCAATGCTAGAGGGATTGATTGTAAAACAATGCAGCCACTTTGGGAAAATTTGGCCCTTCCTCATAACCATAGTCAACACATGACCCAGCAATCCCACTCCTAGGTATATTCCCAAAAGAAATGAAAATATATGTCCACACAAAAACTGTACAGAAATGTTACAGCAGCATTATTCATAATAGTCAATAAATGGGAACAACTCAAATACCCATCAACTGATGGATAAATAAAATGTGATATATCCATACAATAGAACATTACTCAGTCATGGAAAGTAATGAAATACTCATATGTGCATTATACGGATGAACCTTGAAAGCATTATCCTAAGTGAAAGAAGCCAGTCACAAAAAGCCACATATTGTATGATTCCATTTATATGAAATGTCCAGGACAGGCAAGTCTATAGAGACAGAAGGTACATTAGTGGTTATCAAGGGCTGGGGGGACAGGATAATAGGGGGATGACTGTAAATGTGCATAGGGTGTCGTGGCAGGGGGGGATACTGAAACATTCTAAAATCAAATTGTGACGACAGTTACATAACTTTGTGAATACTCTGAAAACCACTGATCTGGATACTTTAAATAGATTAATTTTATGGTATGTGAAATATATCTCAATAAACTTGTACAAATATACACGTATAGTCAAGGACACAGGTGTGCTTTTTAAAAATACCATCATCCCATTTTCAAATACAGAAACCTATGGTTTAAAAAAGACAAGAAATCTAGGTTTTCATTAGGATATGCAACAGAACTAGGAAGGAAATAATTTGGTTCTTATTAAATAATACTATTAGTTAAGGTAATGCTGTGCTTTAGCATACAAACCCTAAACTTCAGTTGCTTAACCCAATAGATGTTTATTTCTCATTCAGAAAAGTCCAGACAGGTGATTCTGATCAGTGGGCAACTCCCCTCCATGTGGTAACTCACGAAGCCAAGTTCCTTCCATCTCATAGCTCTGCCATCTTCAATACAGGCTTCCCAAATCACCAAGTATAGAGGGATCACTCGTGGGAGGTTCTCCTAGGTCAAGCCTAGAAGTGGCACATCCCTTCCACTCACATTCCACTGGCTAAAACTGAGTCACATGACCCCATCAAACCACAAGGGAGACCGGGAAACATAATGTGATACTATCCACCATTAGTAAGCAGAGTGTTTAGAATTAGTGTTACCATTTTCTAGAACTTACACTGAATATCAGTTATTTAAAGAAATATCTATGAATCAATAGCAGTGATTGTGTGAACTGCCATGGAATTGCTTTCTCAATTAGTCAATAATTATTTACTGAGCACATACTATCTGCCACACACCACTCTAGGTGAACACAACAGACGAGGGAAAAAAAAAAACAAAAACCTGCCCTCATGAAGCTCACAATCAGTGTGGCAGGACAAGCAATCAAAAAAATAAAATACATAGTATGTTGAATGAAAATAAACACTAGGGAAGACAAAACTGAGCAAGGAAGGAGGGCAGGGAGTACTACTTGGAATAGTGTGATCAAGATCTTAATGACGAGGTGATATGAACCAACACCTGAGGGAAGTGTGGAAGTGAACCATATGGGTATCCAGTGAACACTCCAGGCGAAGAACAGAAAGTACAAAGATCCTGAAGCGGGAGCTTGGGTGGCATGTTTGAGGCCACTGTGGCTGAGCAGAACAAGAGACAGAGGTGCTAGGAGATGAGCTCAGGGAGGCACCAGAGAGCCAGATTATAAACCAGGAGCAGGCTGCTGTCCTGTCACATTTTACCTTCACCAAGATTTTGGCTTTTGAGAAGCCACTGGAGGATTTTGAGTAGAGGAAGGACATAACTTGACCTATCTTTTCAAAGGATCGCTCTGCAGCTGTGTTAAAAATAGAGTGTAAGTGGGCAAGAACAGAAGCAGGAAAACCAACTGAAAAGCTCTTGGAACAACCCAGGTGAGAGGTGCTAGTGGCTAAGTCCAGGGCAAAGCAGTGAAAACGTGGAGAAGGGTAGAAGGTAGACTGGCTGTGGGATGTGAGAGGAAGAACTGTTGCTGGGCTGACTCTTTAAGTTTTTGGCCTAAGCAACTGGAAGGACGGAGATGCCACTTACTGAAAAGAGGAAGTCTGAAGGAGGAGTAGTTTAAAGAAGAAAAATCAAGAGTTCCAACGCAAGAAAAGACAATATGATTACCTCCTTTACTATTAAAGGTGGTTGCTCTTTGAGTTTTCAGGAACATTTTTTTCAATCAACAAAGGTATAGTTATCACATCCCTTATGTGTATAGTGTTACCAAATTAAAACTGTTTTTATATGCTGTCCTTCATCTGAAAATCGTTTTATCTTTAAGACGGCTAGAATGGGCTCAATTCCCATTTTATACCTTGGGAACCTTCTTGTCACCTTCAGTCCCACTCTCACATTTTACCTTTGCCAAGTTTACGAATCAGGCACGCAGCATTTCCCCACGCCAATTTAATAACTTACGTTGTTTTCTTATTTAAAACCCCAAGTTCAACACCTACAAACTGTTCATAAAATGCACTTTAATGTCAAATTTCCTAAGCCTTCTTTTAACACATAGCTTTCACAAATTTGAGGCATAAATAATAAAAAACTTATCCATACTATAACAAGGTTGGAAATCTTCCTGCCGACCAACTTACCAATCACTGGTCCACAGTTGCTAAGTATGGCCACTCCACAGCCCTGTTTCCCCAGCAATTACTAACTGCTGTTGCTGTTAGGTGATGTCGAGTCAGTTTCGACTCATAGCGACCCTACGTACAACAGAACGAAACACTGCCTGGTCCTGCACCATCCTCACAATCGTTGCTATGCTTGGGTCCATCATTGCAGCCACTGTGCCAATCCATCTCATTGAGGGTCTTCCTCTCTTTCACTGACCCTCTACTTTACCAAACATGATGTCCTTCTCCAGGAACTGGTCTCTCCTGATAACATGTCCAAAGTACATGAGACTAAGTCTTGCCATCCTTGCTTCTAAGAAG